TCGGCATTCGACCTTCAATACTCGAATTTAAGTACTCGAACTTCAACATTCGGCTTTCAGTACTCGAACTTCAATATTCGGCCTTTAGTACTCAGCTTAAGTTCTCGACCTTCAATACTCGGCTCTTGGTATTCATCTGGCCTTTGCTCGAACGTCTGGCACTTTGGATTTGTTCCCTTTGCTATTCACATATGAAAATATCCTTTTGTGGGTTTGCGCTAGGGCGAAAAAGAGCAAAAACTATTTGAGCCTTGTTGATTTGAGTAGCTTTTTTCGGTTGTACAACATGTATTTTATTTTTTTCAAGGTTTTAAAATAATTTTTATAATATCCCACCAAACAACCATTTTGATTCTTCCCCCATTACTCCACATTTATTTTATAAAAAATCAAATAATTCCAATTTTATATTTCAAATTGATTGGTTTTAAAAAATAATTAAAGTATATAAAATTGACATGCAATGTGGCGATATTTCATCCACATTTAGCGATTCCATTTTTAATAATAATAATAATGCATCGCATCATAAAAATAACACAATCCGAGCTCTAATTTTGCACTCACTTCTCCCTTCCTCCAGACGTCGAATCCTCCGTCGGCTCCGATTCCCTCCTCCACCGAACGTGGAATCCACCGCCGGGGAGATTCATAAGAATCCCATCAAATTCAGTGGCTCTACACCTTGCCCTAGGAACACCTTATACTGATCAATTCAGATTGACTTCCTCTATTCAATCTCAACAAGAACAAACCATAACACAATCCGATCAGGTGTCGCGACCTCAACATTTACAGAAAGATGATTAACACCATTTAAGAGATCGACCTGTTTATGCACCCACACATTGCACACCAAGTACAAACGTTATACCTTCAAAGAGACGGCACAAACATTAACCCATGTTTCCCCCAGACTTCATAGCTGATGTGTTTCTACAATTCCAAACATTAGTTTTGCTATTAATTTCATTCTTCGAAAAACTAAAGTAAAGTTGTATTTCTCTACAAATATCTACATTAGTAGCTAGTGATTTATATATCAGTAATGTTACCAAACTATATAAGTTTATATATAATAAACTAAATATAAACTAAAGTCAATCCGCAACAAGAAAAAAATTTATAAAAATTCTATCTTTAAAATTTTGCCTATTAAAGCCAAAAGTTTCAAAGTATCATTAAAGTTTGACATGTACTTCCTACCTGTATCATTGAAAGCTTGATTGTTTACATACGAACAGCCTATTCAAGTCATATTGACATCCACGGCCCACCTTAATCAAATAATTAAAAAGAAACACTTACAGACATGTCACTTAATTTCTAAGTATTTACATATCAAATATCTATATTTTATTCTTTTATATTTATAACCCTAAATTTTTTCATAGCTCATGTATGTTTCAAAAATTTTGAAGGTAATAGAGATCAGTCGGTGCTCTGTCGTTATATTATGTCGACCATTATGGTTATATCATTGAATGGACCAAACAATGAAAATATGTGGATGACAACAATAAAAGTTGGCAACTCCTGGAGTTTGATGACTTATAACTCCTAAAGCTTAATAACTTGTAACTCACAGGAGCTTAATGACGTGCAACTCTCAATAGCTTCATGACCTATAACTCTTAGGGACAATATTGTAATTTACAAGATCACTCTATGATATATAGATAAGAGGACCTTTTTCATGTAAGGAATAGAGTATTTAGGCATTACTCTCCCCTTCTCTTATGACAATTCTTTTCAATATAGTAAATGAGTCTGAGAACCCGGGGAACCACTGGGAGCAGTCGTTGTGTCATTCCTTTCTCTCTTTCTCTCTCTCTTTCTCTCTCTCTCTCTCTCTCTCTCTCTCTCTCTCTCTCTCTCTCTCTCTCTCTCTCTCTCTCTCTCTCTCTCTCTCTCTCTCTCTCTCTCTCTCTCTCTCTCTCTCTCTCTCTCTCATTTCCTCTCGCTCGGTCCTTACGCTCTATATCTTAGGCACGATCAACCTAAAAAATCTGAATCTAACGATGTATAAAAAATACAATTGTTGAATCTGAGATTATCGTGCAAAACACACTCAAAGAATACAGTGTACGAGAGTGAGAGAGGTGAGAGATTAAAAAAAAAACTAGATTAGTCAGAATAATCCATTAACCTTTGTTGTAGAAATGACCCTATTGTTATAGGCTTAGAGGGTGTGAAGTGTACAATTACGTGCCTACCTCTGTTTGAAGTATGTAAGTCATATGACATCTTGTTCATAACTAAATACATGAATAACTAAAATAAAATAAAAAAGATCTTTGATTTGGATGTCTCATCCTTTAGTCGTCCGAGGTTGGGTCCTCGATTAGTTTGTCTGAGGGTCTTCAGTCAGCCGACTATAGACTTTCGGTCGACCAGGTTGAGGTTCTTTGTTCGTAAAGAGTGTGGCTCTTCTATCGGCTAGGTTATGGTCCTTCGGTCACAAAGCTATGGATCTTCGATCGCCCAACTGTCAACCTTCGGTCGAACAAGTTATGGACCTTCGGTCAACCAAGTTATGCACCTTCGTTCGATTGGCTCTTTTGATTTGATTAGTAGTTATTATTTCCTTTGGACGAAACAGTTGTTGTCAAGATGAGGCTAAGCCATCGCGTAGGGGGCACTTTATTATACTCCAACAGGTAGCTCCACCTCTTTAACAAAAAGCCACAAGGAGGGTTTGTATTGGTGATGCATTAGGCGCTAATGCTTGTGAAGAGCATTTGAGGTTTTTTCCAAGATGATTCGTGGTATTATGTTGAGGAGCTCGACGATTTTCGTGTCTTCAGGGATATTCCCTAGTCTTTTTCCCGAGGGGTTGTTGTTCAGTAGGTCCTGTACACACTTTCTTAGAGAGGCCTTCGTTAAGCATTGAATTTCATGGGTTCATGTTAATACAATATTTGACTTATAGTATGTCATCTTTCACCATGCTTGTCTTTGTGACCATAAGATTCCTTTGAGATTCGTGTTGATACATTATGGGTGTACAACAACCATTTTAATTTTTAAAAAGTGAAATACATGTTTTCTTAGCTTTTCATATATAGTTAACATAGCCTGTGTATACAATGTATACCCAAATATGATCATATATTCTAATAAGACTTTTTCATGGACATGTCATAGAGATCAACATATTTTATAAGATTCGGAGCCTCACGTCCAAAGAACAAATTATTTTTAAGCTAAGCCCACCTATCGAAGTTTTCAATCTAAACTCACCTACCGAAGTGATCAATCTAAGCCCACCTACCAAAGAAACCAATCTAACCTGGGATGCATCTCCATGAAAGATCATCATTACATACAAAGACAAGAATCAATCCTTACTTATGACGTCATCTGACACCTTCACCACAATCTTTTCACACAGGCACACGTGATATCATACAGAATGTAATTTTATATTTTTGTTATCTTATATATATAAACGGGAGGTCAACGTGAATCTCTCTCTCTTTCTCGTTAGAATCCTTATCGGGTTATATGAACGGTTGAGTTATTTGCATGTAAGTTTACTTGATTAGAAATTGTTAGATTTCACCACATAAATGCGAGAGTTCATATATATTGATTATGTTCTATTGATATTACCGAAACGTCTCCAAATTACAAGTTGATTTGAAAATCCTTTGCGTTATTTGTTTTAAGGAGGAACATGAGGTATTAAATGTTGGAAAAAAAATATTAAAAATATCCCATAAATTTCTGCCAGCATAAATCCCTTCATTCACGCGTCATTTATAACATTTTAATACAATTAAATTATTATATAATACAATTAAAATTTTAAAAATAAACAGTATAAATTATAAAACTGCACACTCAACAAATTGCAGTTATCGTAAACTTTCTGATTATTGATTCCCCCTGAAGCTGATGAATAGCTTGAACTCATACCTGCTATATCCTGTTATAAACTAGAAAAGATTAGAACATAAATGGAAGCAGAATTGAAGTAAATTGATGGCAGAGAACAAGCATGAATTAAGCAGGAAGATGGATAAAATAAATGGATTAGACGAGTATACTTATTGCTGATATGCAATCTCCTCCTTGTATTGTCATCTAAACAGAAGTTGCAGAAGGTTGATATACATACCACATAAAATCTGTATGCAGCAATAGATATTGAGTGTTGCGTCTGTAAGAATCCCAAAAAATAAACAGCAAAGTTTATGATAGGAAATTCTAAACAATTTCCAAATTAAAATACACCGCGGAATAAAGAGATCGTACTAATTCGAAAAAAATAAAAAAAAAAACTCTAAGTTGAAAGTACAATCAAAGTAACGAGAAAAGTGCACAAGAATTTATGTGGAAAAATCCGAGGACTGAAAAAAAAAGTATGGAGTCACACCACCAAAAATTTCACTATTAAATTCATAAAATGTTTACAAATAACTCATAGATGTTTTCTCTCTATACAAAAAAAAAAAAATACAAGACACGCTCCGCAATCTTTTTTTACCGATATAACTCAAAAATCAGGCAAAATCACTAAAATCTACCTACTGACACTTCTCTCCTTCACCATGATGCCCGGAAAATGAGGAATGAAGAAAAACTAAGCACAACCTTACGCGGCCCGAAATCAAGATTAAATAACCAATTCTCGTCAAAAAGATACCCCTGGCGCATATTCGCCGGGACATGGTGCATATACACTAAGCTCTCTGTATTAAAAGAGCACCAAGGAGGGGAGTGGGCACATATGCGCCAAATAGCTAGCGCATATACACCTGCCTTTCTGTTGCCGCACCCATATGGCGGACGCCTATGCGCCCATAAGCTAGCCGTTGCATTTTCTTCTCTGCAAATTTTCCTTTCATTTCCGGTTTTACTGCTTGCTTGTTGTGGCCTTGCCCTCTCCTTCGACTGTCAAGAAATGGAGCATTCGGCCTACAGGGAATGACAACCTGTAGGTGGTCTACGGTACTCCCTTTCTTGGCAACCTGCTGTATGAATTTGGCTATTCCTTCAGCACAAGCAGGAATTCGCTGCCCAGGAGTTATTCAGCAGTCCAAATTCGACTGCAGGTGTTCTTTGGCTAAGCAGGTGACTTCGGCAGTCCATGAGTCATTTCTTTTCTCGGATTTATCTTCATCATCTTGAAGGAGTACAGACGTTGCTTCAAGAAGAGCCTATTAGCCAAAGATTTTGTCGTATAGAGTAGTTCGAGTTTGACCCAAAGTGCTTGAGCCGTAGTCTCCCTCGACACTTCCCTCATAACTGTCACTCAAGCTCAAGATTATCAAGCTGTGAGCTCTGTCCAGGATGTCATTCTTCTCTTTCTCGAATATCTCGGCCCGCAATGTCGTTGGCCCTTGCAAAGCTTCTGCGACATCTTGTTGCACCAATAGAGCGCTCATCTTGACTCTCCACAAGTCAAAATTATTCTTTCCGGTGAATTTCTTGAGGTCGAATTTGGCGGTTCCTATTGTCGTTGTTGGATTTCTCACAGACGGCACCAATTGTTGAAGAATCATAGAAACTTCTAATTTGTGAACCAGGTCTACTTTAGAGGCCTCATTTAGTTATAAATAGTGAGAGAGACTTGTAGAGAGGTGACCAAAGGGAAAACAAATCAATTGGTTAGAGAAAGAAAAGGAGAGGCTTCAAGAATTGAACGGGAGGATCTTAAAGATCTTCTGTTAAGGTGATTCGAGAGAAAGATCATGAGAGCTCATTGATCTTAGAGATTTTGTATCGAGGAGATTCGAGAGAGAGAGATCATTGCAATATGAAAGCTCATTCCACAATGTAAAAGCCTTGTAATTTTTATTGTCCTAGTGGATTTGATGGTTGATTTCACTCTCGTTGATGTAGATCCTATGGACCGAACCACTTAAATTCTTGGGTGTTCTTGTTTCTTGTTTGCATCTTATTTTTCATGCAGTTTTTCGTTTCTTTTCCTTGTTTTCTTGCATGCTGTGGTTTCACTCTTCTTCGGTTGTCAAGAAGGAGTTCGACGTTTATTTTTTCTTCCTATTCAACAGTCCAGTTCTTGGTTTTCTTCACCACAGTTCAGTTCTTGATTTTTTTCTTGAGCTACCAAGCAATCTTATTTTTCTTCAACACTAGCACATATGCACCAATCTCAATGTCTATCGCAAAAATTGTTGGCGCATATGCGCTGGGTGCATTGTTCACTATGGTTTGGCTCCACACAACCCAGCAATTTAGATGTTGGATAGGTAAACATGCATGTTTTAAGTGTTATGTACGTAAAAACCCCAATAGTATAATTAAATTTTCAGACATTCATGAATAAAAATAGGAGATGAGATGCATTATCCGAATATCCATTTGGATAAACAGATACCTTGAGACAGTATTCAAATTAGAAACTTTATGAATTAAATTCATGAGCACAATGTCTGATTTCAACAAAATATCTTGAGATAATATTCAACAAATATATTGAGACATTATTCAACAGAATCAGAATCTTTATGAATTAAATTCATGAGCACAGAGTCTGATTTCAACAAATGTCTTGAGATAATATTTAAATTAGAAACTTTATAAATTAAATTCATGAGGAGTTATCTTTGACTATTTGCAAAACTTTAAAGCTTATATTTGATGCTGACGATCATCATGACAACTGCTAACGCACCACTAACATCATTTGATCAACTCTGCATTTCCTTCTGCGCTAATCAACCACTATCCTTATATGATATTGTCCACTCAATAATTGTCGTCGCCTATCCACCTTGACTATCTTCACCTGTCTCTTGCCTATCAATAACCATTGTCTTACATTTCTTCAATATGTTTAGTTACAACCCTAATAAGTCAACTATGGCTGTTTTTAATCTTTACATCAGTTTAAGACACATTTGGTCCAACTTATAAGTGCGAAGACATTTTTAAAAATGCTGCGATACCGTTTGGATCCCACAGTTTTACCCACTTATCAAAAAACGCGGTATCCATTTTAAACTAAACGCATACCACGGGTCGAATCCCACAGTCAACCTGCGGGCCGTATTTCAGAATAAATTGCTTGTCATGAAACTCACAACCTGCCCCAAACACACTCTTAGTTGATCGTTTTAATCAGTTAAGCTTCCTAACTCTCTTTTTTTTTTGGGCAATTACATTTAAACCACCCAATTCTAATGCATCTACAAACTTTACCTTTTCACATTATACCACTCAAATTCATATCACGTGAAATATATCACCTTTTTAACTTAAAAAAAGGGAAAAAATATTTTCATGCTCAGGTAAGTAGGAATAAATATAAAAATTGAAATTTAGATGTTGGAAATGTAAATATATATAGGAACGGAGCAGCATGTATGCAAATCTTCCTTTTGGGGTTTTGGGGGCGCTGGGAGGGTGGGATTTACATGAATGCCATAATATTCTTATGTATTTACACAAACAACACCTAAAATTTTCTATTAATACAAAGCGCTCAAGATATGGGCCGACGTGGAGCTTGTTTGTAAGGATTTATTGCTCACAAATTTTCTTGTCAGATTGACCAGCAAGCATTGATTGGGTCATGGGCATGATTGACAACCTTGACTTCTTGCGATTAATAAAAATCTGTTCTTTATTATTTTAAAGAAGTACTCAAGCAAATATACATACAGGCTATAAAAGCCAAACAAATTACTTTAGGGCATAATCAAATTATTTAAATTTTTATCATAATTTAATTTTTCATTAAACCCATGTCCAATTTGTTTTTTCTGTTTTTTCTTATTTTAAACTTATTTAAAATTAATTATCTTGTGCTATCACTAAGTAAATAATATACTTTTTTTTATTTTGATCCAAAATAAATTTAAGGTAACCTATCACACGCCGCCACTTGTCATGCCGAAATAAACCTTTTCAACTACCAGCTGCAATCTCCCAACTGCTTCTTCATCCACAACGTCACTCTCGTCTTCCCAGATAGTCAATGCCCTCCCCACCGATCTCTCTCAGATCACTCGACTTACACCCATCCACCCGTATTCCCCATGGCTCAATAACCTGTTTTTCCATGGCCCTACTCCTCCAGCACGCCCTCCACCTCTTCTTTCTCCTCGTCCCCCTCCGCCACCACCGTACGGCCGCCGTCCAGATCGCCACCGAGTTCGTCTACCCCAACTTCACCGCCTCAAGCATAAACTACATCGAAAAAGACAACATCTTTCTCACCTCCCCCTCCTCCATTTTCTCCGCCACCCTCTCCTCCGACGCCCCACAATCCCCATTCATCTTCTCCATTCTTCACACACCGACCTCCACTGTCGTCTGGTCGGCGAATCTCGGTTCCCCAGCACCTTACACCTCCGTGCTCTCCCTCTCCCCTGCAGGCCTCTCCATCTCCCTCTCCAATGGCTCCCTCCTCTGGTTCACCCCACCTCTTCCCCGCCCAATAGCCGCCCTCCGACTCCTCGACTCAGGCAACCTCCTCCTCCTCGATGATGTCAATAACTCTCTGTGGCAATCCTTCGAACACCCTACGGACACCCTTCTCTCCTCCCAACGCCTACCCGTCGGCGCATCCCTCTCCACCTCTACCGGAGATTACCACCTCCTCGTGACGGCTGACGACGCCGTCCTTCTCTGGGTAAATCAGCAATACTGGCGACTGTCGGCTGATCCTCGCTCGATCAAATACCACCACGAACCAACCTCTTTCATGGCGGCCAATGACTCCGGGCTTTACCTCATCTCCGCCACCGGGCGAGCTTCTTATGGCCTTAAGCTTCCTAATGCGAATCATCAGTTCATGAGATTGGAATCCGGCGGCCAGTTTCGCTTCCTTGATTACTCCGGCAACCGCTCCGGCCTCGCAGAAGAGCTCCTCGTTCCCATCAGCGCTTGCGATCTTCCGCTATCCTGCAGAGCGCTCGAGGTATGCACGTTACAGAGGAAAGGCATCACCTGCAACTGTCCGGTGTCTTTCGCAGGATCCACTGCCGGTGGATGCGTGCCGGCCGACAGCTCTGCTTTGGCCTCCATATCCAATTGTGCCATGGAACCAGCTTATCGGAGCTTGGGAAATGGAGTCGAGTATTTCGCCAATAAATTCTTGAAGCCTTCGAGCTCCGGCGGTAACCTCTCCTCGTGCCAGACGCTTTGCTCGAGGAACTGTTCTTGCCTCGGATTTTTCTACAAGAATTCATCTAGATCTTGTTTTCTAGTAAATAACCAGATTGGATCCCTTCTTGGTAGTAGAAACCAAGAAGTTTTTGATAGCAGCGAGGGATACGTTAAGATTACAGCGCTATCGCAGCTGGGTTCCAGCCGGAGCCCTAATCTCATTCCGATACTCTTAACCTCCATCGTTGTCTTCCTCGCTCTGCTCATCGCCGGAATTTATTGGCGACGCAGAAAGAGGATGTCTGGATATAGAACTTCCCCCAAGTTTGTAACATTGAAGCTCTGGGCATCGCCAACACGTGACAGTATCTTCACCGGCGACGGCTTCGTCTCCGGTGATCCTGACGAGATCTGCATCTTGGATCTTCCGACACGATTCACCTACGCGGAACTCATCGCCGCGACGAACAACTTCCGCACCAAGATCGGAGCCGGAGGTTTCGCCGAGGTGTTCAAAGGCGATCTCCCAGACAAAACCTCCGTCGCCGTGAAGCGGATCAACGGCGGCGCCAGCGGAATCCAAGGGAAGAAGAAGGAATTCCTCACAGAGATCGCTGTAATCGGCAGCATCCACCACGTGAATCTAGTGCGTCTCCGGGGCTTCTGCGCCGAGGGGGGTCACCGCCTCCTGGTCTACGATTTCATGAACCGCGGCTCCCTGGACCGATCCCTCTTCGTCCCTGAAGCCCCCTTGCTGGAATGGGATAAACGAATGAACATCGCCATCGGAGTCGCGCGGGGGCTTGCTTACCTCCACTCCGGCTGCGATCGAAAGGTCATCCACTGTGACATCAAGCCAGAGAACATCCTCCTCCATTCAAGTGGGAGCGTTAAGATCTCCGATTTCGGGATGGCCAAACTGATGAGCACGGATCAATCCGGGCTCTTCACGACGATGAGGGGTACGCGGGGGTATCTCGCGCCGGAATGGCTCACCAATACAGCCATCTCCGATAAGACGGATGTGTACAGCTATGGATTGGTGCTTCTGGAGATCATTCGGGGGAGGAAGAACTGGTCGATGGTGGCTGAAGGGTGGTCGATCGGGAGCACCGGCGTCGGAGATATAAGATATTTTCCGATGATTGCGTTGGAAATGCACGAGAAGGGTAGGTATTTGGATCTTGCGGATCGGAGGTTGGAGGGGAGGGTGAGGGAAGAGGAGGTGGGGAAGGTGGTTAGGGTTGCGCTTTGCTGCCTGCATGAAGATCCGGTGAGGAGGCCGACGATGAACGAAGTGGCGGCGATGCTCGACGGAACTATTGCGGTGGAGCAGCCGAGGCCGGAGGGGCTTGGATTTCTGCGGGTGTATGGGAGGGGGTTTCTTTTCTCTGGCGAGAGTGGGAAGATCAAGAGCAGCAGTAGCAGAAGCTGCTCTGTTTTCTCGCAATACCTTTCTTCGCAGGAGGTCTCAGGTCCTAGATAAATCGTTTTGTCGAGAAGCATGTAACTATATATATGTGTGTGTGTGTGTATATATATATATATATATATATATATATATGTATATATACACGAAATTTTTTAATTTTTTTATTGAATCTTGGAAATGGACCGCACTTACGGTCGATAATGATTAGGGGTAGTTTTACGTGAGATGAGATGATGCTCATATTATTATTTGGGCTGATCTTAAACAAAAAAAAAAAAAAATTAAAAACGCACCTGAACTGTTTTGTTAAATTGTGTTTTGACAATTTACGTATTTTGAAAACGCTGAAAATAGTGATTTCACACCGTGCGGTGGCAGCTTTCTGGCAGCGATATGAATTTTCCAAAAAAAAATAAAAAATTGTAATAACCATCGCATTTAACTTATGAGCAAATTATTTTTGATTAGCTTATCAACGATTGTTCAATAAGGTGCAGCTACCCCAAGCTAACAGTAAATGAATTTTTATCAACACATTATATGTAAATATATTTTTTCCTCGAGGTATGTATCACAAATTTTAATATGTTAATTTATTAAGCTTAAATTTTAATATTCATTAATATAATACTTAAATTTAATTTCATATAAAAAGATCATTAATATTAATGTTTTTAAAGTAAAGTATGTGCTATTGTGTAGGAATTTTTTAATTTAATTATAATAAATTTAGGTTTGGGTCAACATGATTATCTTTTGATTTGAGTTGAGTTTGAAGAAAAAAAAAAAAAAAAATCATTATGTTTATTTATTATGATTGGATTTAAGTTGAACTATCACCCAGAGTTGACTTTTTAACATGAAATTATTCTGAATCTAAACCACTAACTCAAATTGAGCATGAAGCATATATTAAACATGTTATGTGAGTAGTATTTGGGTCATCGGGTTGAAGTCGGGTCTGAATTTTGGACATGTCCACACTCACTACAACTAGAATGATAACAAATCTCAAGCTATATGATGGAAGAAACCCTGGATCATATTTGAGATAACGATCGCCATTGGGATATAAGAAAGAGAGATTTGATTTTAGAGAATTTCTATATTATGTTTTTTAAAGAGCTCAGTTGAATCAAATTGTAGATTAGAAGAGGTTAATTATATTAAGCTAAAAAACATCTGTCACAAAGGAAATAGAAAATATAAGAGAATTGTTGCGTCACTTTTCTATGGCACGAGTGTTGGGTGTTCACCTTGTTGTGTGGAAACTTTGAAATTTAAAGCAATCGACGACGAAGCAAATAAAATAGCATGAGAAATTCACATCAAAAAGAACACACAGATTTACGTGGTTCGACAAATTGCCTACATCCACGGAGTTGCAGAGGATTTTACTAATTGAGGAAGTTTACACCAGTTTGATCACAACGACAATTAAGGATCTCCACTTGCTCTTTCTCTTTACACCAAGATTCACCCAAGAGTAAGAACACCAAAGAAGAAGAAAAATATACAAGAGAAAACCTGTTTCTCTTCTGCCACAAGTCACCAAGAAGAACAC